TAAAACAAGCATTGTCACTAAGGTGACATAATCCCTCGCCGCAAATTATCAAATCAAACATATAAAGTAATGACAGTTTAAGTTAAATGTCAACAAAAACATGACCTGTCAACCTCTCTTGATATCTTGCTCTTTAGGTGTTCAAACACACACATATTTTCAAGACTGACTTTGACCATGACATGAATGTCAAAGTGAATGAAATATGCAAAAATAGTAATAAAGAAATTGCTTTTTGAAAAACATTTAAGGGAAGTCTTGAAAGTCTTTGAAGAAAATCCAGTGAACCGTTCTTGAAATATCTTGCTGACAATTCAGGTTAACATGCTGAAATCTTCAAAGTGTCTCTGTGACCTTTAAAATTAAGTGAAGGTCACCCAAATTGACTGGGCCCTGCGCCTTCCCTAGATAAAGCTTGGTTTCAAGCACACACATGGTTCTTGAGATAGCTTAACATGCAGGTTTACATGCTGAAATCTTCAAAGTGTCACCATGACCTTGAAAGTTATGTGAAGGTCACCAAACTCGACTGGGCCCTGTGCCTTCCCTAGATAAAGCTTTGTATTGAATATGAAGAATATCCAGTGAACAGTTCTTGAGATAGCTTAACATGCAGGTAAAATGTTACAGTCCCCTTGTGACCTTCAAATGAAGGTCAAGGTCACCAAACCTGACTTGGACCTTTCTTATACTGTTATGAACCTAGGTACCAAATATGAAAAGAATCTAGTGAACGGTTCTTAAGATATTCCAATTCGTACGTACGGACGGAGCCTAATACTATATCCCCTGCTTCGCGCTAAATGCGTGGCGGGGGATAATTAGGCAAGTTGAGTGAGTGAGTGAGTTAGTTTAGTTTTACGCCGCACTCAGCAATATTCCAACTATATGGCAGCGGTCTGTAAATAATTGAGTCTGGACCAGACAATCCTGTGACCAACAACATGAGCATCGATCTGCGCAATTGGCAGATGTGTCAACCAACCATTAGTGGTTGGTGTGTGAGTGAGTGAGTGAGTCATGCTGCTTTGAACAGTATTTAAGTTACATCTCAGCACAACAGATTAATGTGGGAGGAAAGTCTGAAATTAGTGAAATGATGCATTTACCACTTGAAGATGAGGATGGATATGGTTCAAACCAAGAAACAAAACCAGGACAAACTGGGATTAAACACAGGTTTCAGGCATGCCCAAAAGACGCTACTCTGCACACTGAACATTGACTCAGGTAACCATGACAACTTGGAATTAAGCAATCAATGCAAATGTTTCAGGTGTTGATTGTTTCTTTTGGGGTCATTTGTGTCCAAAGTGTACCATTTCTTCTGAGATTTCAAGGGGCAAGCTTGGGCACAGTTCATATGCTCTGCGTGGTATAGCTGTCATAAATCTATGTTAAGGCATGAGCGTAAAAATAATTAGAGCTTTGTGGAACTGGGTCATAGCTGGGCAGTGTTCACAAATAGTGCCTGACCCTCTGACAAATCCAGCAGATTCGCCAACGGTCAGATAGAAGTCTACAACCCACCTGCCCCAGTGTCTGACTGTATATTTCACAATGACTTTGACTGAAGTTGTTATTTGTGACATGTAACACTTCTTTGATGTTTATAAATATTATGTTTGTTAATAATTTCATTGCCAATTATAAGAAATGTTAAATCTGTAATGTGTGTCTAATTTTATTCTATGGGTCCCGTGAAATTTCAATGGGTCAGACAGACATCTGAAACTTCCTGTTACTTTGAAACACCATTCGTGAACACTGGCTGGGTAATGATATGCAGTATAATGCCAGTACAGATGTTGCAACTTGCAATGTATTTGAAGAAAATCCGTTGTGGAAATAATTAAAACATTTGACACTATGTAAATTGTTTCTTTTTCCTGTTTCAGCCCGAGTATGGGCGAAACCATTTAAAAGGCTCTATCCGCAGTAGTGTCAAAACACTACGCAAGGGTAATGAGGGCATATTTAAAAGCGTTTTATTCATGGTGCATATGTCATGGTAGAATGGAGATAACCCTATTGTGTTTACATTTTGGAAGTGATTATAGTTGGTTGAACGCTGCTAACTGTTTCACAGTTGCTGCTAAATGAAACAGTTAGCAGCGTTCAACCAACTAATTGATCTAACATTTAGATATTTGGGCAAATCAAGGATAATTTTGAATGTCCAGCTCAGTAAGTTAACCAACTATTCATTCAAACACTATAACTATTCAAAACTCAGTAACCCATTGAACATGATTACTGCTTCTCTTCATGTCTCATAAGGAATGATATGGCAGGTAATAACTTCCATAAAACATGTGCCCAAAGCATAAAGAGATTAAAATATCAAGCATTGTGCAACAAAAGGGTGCCTCCATGAATGTCTGGAAGTTGGCTGTTCAGTAACTGAAGGATCCTTTAAGAGAAATGTGTAGTACAAAATGAAGCAGTGAGTTGGTGTATTCTGCCACTTATACGTATATTCTCAGAGGCTGATATGCAGGAGTGAGTGAAGATTTGCCAGGAAACTTATGCATGCATCAGACATCCGAGTCTTGAAAGTACCCTAACCACAATATGCCCACCGATACATTGTTTAAACTGATTCATATTGTGATGGCATCATTATGGTCTCTGAGAGTGTTTCTCAAGATGGCATACAGTGAGTGAGTTCAGTTTTACGTTGTTTTTAGCAATGGTCCAGCAGTATCACCAGAATGGGCTTCACATGTTGTACCCAAGTGGTGAATCAAACATTGGGTCTTCAGTGTAACCAGGAGACGCTTTAACCACTAGGCTAAGGATGGCATACAAGACAGCATTTACAGGGCAATGCTATGGTCAAACTGTGCCTGACATACAGCATCAAGTTTTAAACTTAAGGTAGAATTTCTGCCAAATTAACTGACAAAACCACAAATTGGCATCCACATGGTCTTGTTACTTACCGCAACAGAAATATCTGGCATATGTAACTATATCGTATGAAAGAATCAACTGAATTTTATATCAAATGCTTATTATTTATGTCTATCGCCAAACACAGCCACAGTGATATTTTCAGTAGAATATTGTGCTGTTCTGGGCTCTGATTTACTAAGGCTTTGGAGTGTCGCGAAAGTCAAAGACTGTAGGAATGTAAATCAGATCTTTTTATGAGTGTTTTGCTGAAAATAAGCATTTCCAAATGAGTGAAAAAATAGAAACATCAACAAGAGGTATTTTAAATTACAAGACTGATTAGGACTCAACATGTATGTGGAGCTAACTAAGAAAGCAACTTTATCGCAAACAATATGTTGGATAAAAAAAAACCCACCATGTTGACAAGTCCATGGGAGGCAACTCTGAACAGGAATTGTGTTTCCTTTGACAAGCCACCTTTTCTAAATCACCATGTATGAATAGTGGTGTGTCAAGAGATGTTTACATACACTCCACTATCCCCCAGATTAATCCATGAACTGTCTTTCAATACGAGACATGCCAGGTTAAAGGCAATAGTACTATCCCCAGGTTAACTCTTTCAACACCAGCCAACCAGAGGCATTTACTGCCATGACACTGAGTTCCCAGAGACTCTGAGGTCATAGATGAAGCCTATGTTTATCAAGGAAAATATCAGCTCGTAAATCATTAATACTTATACATATCATACACCAGTTGAAAGGTCTAATCCTACTGTTTATAAATATGAAAGTTATTTTTTATCATATTATTCAAGTAATACGACTCCAGCTTAAATAAGTTAATTTTTAATGAAAATGCAAGCTTACACATTTATATGTCCAGATAAACCACAAAGGAAGCAAAAATGAGCCTATTTTTTTCCATTTGTAACATGTCATAATAACCCCTTACCTTTTTCTTTTATATTTTCATTTTTACGTAATCGGAAAATTATTATAAAAAGATTTCTGAATTAATATGTATGGTCATTTATTTCCCGGTATCAGTGGCTTTCCGCTCGGTAACGTGATACAACAGCGTGAAATACCTCCGTTTTCGAAGCTTCGTATGAATAACATGTGAGGCGATTCGTTTCATGGCGGGTATCGTTCGAAAGCTCTGAACATCAACAATATCACTGTACCCTTGCCAAGAGTATTTTCACAGTTGTAAGAAGTGATTTTATTGGATAAAGATTGGTTTCTAATGACGCTTATTTGCCTCAGTCTGCTACAAGGATCGTGATTGGTCAAAATCAGACACGTGACCTAAGGCAGCTAATCAGATAATAAGTTTTCCGGCCTACGGTGTCTGGGGACTGGTAACGTCCCCTGGCCTACGGTGTTGAATTGGTTAATATATGTGCCTACCTTCAACACCAGGTGAAACAGTGAAAGACACAATGCCCTTGATCCAGTTTTATGTATGTGCCTACCTTCAATAAGCAGACACACCAGGTAACACACACAATATCCTGACCCAGTTTCATGTATGTGCCTACCTTCAATAAGCAGACACACCAGGTAACACACACAATCTCCACTGACCCAGTTTCATGTATGTGCCTACCTTCAATAACAAGCAGACACACCAGGTAACACACACAATATCCTGACCCAGTTTCATGTATGTGCCTACCTTCAATAAGCAGACACACCAGGTAACACACACAATATCCTGACCCAGTTTCATGTATGTGCCTAAGCAGAGACACCTTCAATAATAAGCAGACACACCAGGTAACACACACAATCCCCACTGACCCAGTTTCATGTATGTGCCTACCTTCAATAACAAGCAGACACACCAGGTAACACACACAATATCCTGACCCAGTTTCATGTATGTGCCTACCTTCAATAAGCAGACACACCAGGTAACACACACAATCCCCACTGACCCAGTTTCATGTATGTGCCTACCTTCAATAATCAGACACACCAGGTAACACACACAATATCCTGACCAAGTTTGGTGTATGTGCCTACCTTCAATAAGCAGACACACCAGGTAACACACACAATCCCCCAGACCCAGCACGAGTATGCGCCTACCTTCTCTTCCATGATACGTGGTATCTCTGGGAGGAAGTCCTCGGTAATTGTCCTGTACAGGCTCTTCTCACATCTCACTTTGCTCTCCTTGAAGTTCTCGGCTAGCTCTTCCCAGTCCTCCAGACTCTGGCACACCAGGTGCCACCGATCTACGGGCACTGCATCCTCCTTCAGAACAGACAGAGGGACATCTTCATTGTCCTCAGAAACTTCCGCTTCTTCTTCCTCCTCCGTTGCTTCATCCTCTTCCTCTTCTGTCGCATCATCTTCACTGTAGAAATGACCATAGAATCAATATATGAAGGCACAAAGGATGCTTGAAGGAATGTTGTTGGCAAAACTTTCAGATCTACCCCAGACACAGAGTCAAAGAAAAGGATCAAAGATCATTTTATACACATTGTAAAATATATCCTTGCTCTTGAAACCAGGCGATATTTGCGAGGTGTAACCTGGGGTTTTACTGAGGATTACAAATGAAAAACAATACCTGGTGTCTTCCTGTACAGCTGGTGAAACAGTTGCCTTGGCCCTGCGACTCAGTCGGCTGCTGCGTCGTGATGGTGTGTCGTCTCCTGCTGCTGGGGCAGCTTCTTCTGCCGCATCCCTGGAGGCAGACAAAAGGGTGTCATTACCTCATAACAGGATTCTTAGAGTTTTTGTGAGTGAGTGAGTGAGTGAGTGAGTGAGTGAGTGAGTGAGTGAGTGAGTGAGTGAGTGAGTGAGTGAGTGAGTGAGTGAGTGAGTGAGTGAGTTGAGTTTTACGTCGCACTCAGCAATATTCCAGCTATATGGCGGCGATCTGTAAATAATCGAGTCTGCACCAGACAATCCAGTGATCAACAGCATGATTAGAGTATTTGTGGACAATGAATGAACTGAAAGGGTCAAGCAGAAACTGATGCACTTTTTTTCATACAAATATTTGCACGCTACGACTTGTAAAAGTTCAGGTTTAAACGGATCTACAATAGTTGTTAATATGGTTGCCTTGAACTGTCCCCAACAGCCCCAAAACAGTAAGTTAAACATACAGACGAATTAAAGTGTTGTTGAACATCAACAAATCCATTAAATAAAACAGATCATCCATCTGGTTTTTTCAAGGTTAATGACAGGAGGAAGGGGAGAGAACTCAAGCACGGTCACAGTACAGTCCTTTGAGGCAAGGCACAATGTACAGCTCCTTCTCATGACCTTATCTTGTATCCTCTGCATTAACCAAACCCCTTGATGTATACACCTAAGCTCCATCAAACCGTAACAAATTCATACAGCTTTCGTTGAACTTCTTCAATGAAGGGAGTAGATGAGATGTATATCCAGACCCTGTTTCACATAGCTATCAGAGCTCTCGAGTGATTACAACTCCCATACTTTAACAGACTTGCGAATGACGAAGCACTACAATCAGTTTATGGAACATGGCCCTGTCTTGAACTGAGTGAGTGAGTTTGATTTTACGCCGCTTTTAGCAATATTCCAGCAATATCACGGCGGGGGATACCAGAAATGGGCTTCACACATTTTACCCATGTGGGGAATAGAACCCAGGCCTTTGGAGTGATAAGCGAATGCTTTACCCACTAGGCTACCCCACCGGCCCCTTGAACTGAGAAGATGGGACCCAGTTCATAACAAAACACTAACCCACATGTCAGGTTGTCACATGTTCAACATACATAGGCATCAAAGCAATCCATTCACAAGCCTCTGACCACCCGATCCGTTTACCCCCACATGACCAGCAGAGTCTGGGGGACCGACTCTAACAAGTAATTCCTACTCCGCAGTGGTATAACACTTACCCATCTTGCCCCTTTGCATCTACACCCTCCATACTGTTGTTCACTGATGCAGACTCCTTGGATTCCACCTCCATTTCTTCTTCTGCCTTTAATTCCAATGCACTGTTGGGAGGCCAATAAATAACAAATTACAGAAATAGGACCTTTCTTATCATTGGAAACTGTAATGTTTAGGCTATTTACTGTCCGTTGTCATGTTTGTTGTAACACTCAAAAAGAATTCAAGACAAAATTGACACACGGATTTCACCTTCTATATCCTTTTGAAGCTACAATTTAGACTCTCGTAACTTTGGCGAGGACCAAGGACTTAAACATATAATCCTTAGATTTAATGAAAAGTACAAATTCTTAAAACCACAAACCAATTTAAATGTGCAGACTTTACTCATTAAATCCAAAATGATCTGACCATTTCCTCCCTTACCTTTCATCCTCTTTCTGATCCGCATCTTCCTCCTCTACCTTCTTCCTTGAGCGGCCCTTCCTCCCTGATGCTCTCTTTCTCCTTCCACTTCTCCTTGGGCGTGTTCTTGACTTCTTCTTCTTTACTACTGGAGTTTTGCTATTAACACATCAGGCAACACAAATGACTTCCAAAGCTATATTCTCTCCCCAGTGTAGAACAAGGATGTGTTTCAGCAGAAAAGAGGAAGGCTTCCTCATAGTCAAGACCTTCGGGCTCAACAAAACTTATAGTCAACTATTTGAGTCTTACAATAACCTCACACCTTTGCACACTGTTTGGACAACAGATACTGTTTTATCATACAAGACTCATTTATTATATACATTAAGTTGCTGTATGAGTTGATAGGTTAATACACAGCTCAATGATACAATTTCCCTATCCATGACACTAATAATTACTTCTCAAAGAGAACAATACATGATAGTATGTATTTCGAATAATAATTTGAAGCAGATGTTAAGGAAAACATGGTGATGATTTTTATAGAGAAGAATGTGCAATGTGATAGACATCACCCCTGGAATATATGTACAAAGTAAGTGCCCCCCCCAAAAAACATGTCACTGTCATGTACAAAATTGATGACCTCCCTCCCCAGAACAAAATGGGTGCCCCCAATGTATGTACAAAGTAAATGTAATACCCCCACCCCTGCATGACAGTCATGTACAAAATGGATGACCCCCACCCCCTGCATGACAGTCATGTACAAAATGGATGACCCTCCTACCTCCCCAGAACAAAATGGGTGAAACACTACCCCCTAAAATGTACTAGTATGTAAGAGAGTGCCCTACCCCCACCCCCTGCATGTCATTGTCCCCTACAAATCCTCATCCCATCCCCATTACTCTAAACCACCTCCCACCCCAAATTTTTTTTTTTTAAATTATGAATGGTCCCGAAAATACAATACTCTGTGATATCACAGATCCCCCAAGCTTCATGTAAAACTTACGTTTTCTTTGCATTCTTTTTCTGCTCCGGTTTCTTCTTTGTATTATCTGGTTTAATTTCTGGATCCTCCTTGTAAAGTCTGACTCCATAGAAATACCAGTAAATCCCTCCATTCTGGTCCCTTCCCATCGGCTCCACTCGCAGGTTGTCGCCATCAAGTCCCTTCAATACAGACATGATAACTGAGTGAAGTAAACTAAGGCTGGCTAAAAATTGTATAATCATAAATAATATCGTTCGCTGAAAGAATTATTGACATGAAACTGTGCTCCACGCAGGTTATCATCATTAGTGGTGGTCCTTTTAACTGAAGTAACAAAGATTGGTCGTAATGACTAAACGACCAAGCAATCGATCAGGTTTTCACAAACACTTTTGGAACACTTGTTTGCATTAACAATATTGAATTTATCTTAAAGACTCCAGGAAATTTATGTTCCTAACATAGTTACTAGTCATCCTTTAAAGATGCATATTGTGCAATTTGCAAAAAAATTCAAAAGATCAAAATGCTTTTCTTTATTTTTTGTGTGCATTAACAAACATAACCAGGAAAATTTGATAAATGAAGCTAACCAATTATTTTCGATGATCGATCAGTTGCAATGAACCAATCATCAATTATAAGATTTTAACCAATTCCCAACATTAGTAGTCATCAAGTCGCGTCAATAAAAACATGACGACTGAGTGAAGTATACTGGGTGAGGTGAACCCAAAGCACAGGTATTCAGGTGAAAATCCTGGAAACACTGAAGAAAGTTGGATTCAAACTCCAGGTCAAAGGTATGTCACAAAGCTAAGGGAAGCAACTCTTTACAGCAAATGTCACATCCCAGGTAGTGTGCGTACAATCTCCTCACCTTAAGAAGGTCCTGCACGTCATCAGCATCCAGTCGGAAGTCACACAAAGCCTGCAACAGTTCGAGCTTGGTGCGCACTGTGAGGACCTGGAAGCTGGTCTCTGCCAAGGGGTTAGTTATCTGCTGGTCCTTCTGCCATCTCTGCTTAAATATGTCCCTCAAATATACTTCAAAATTGTAGGACCTGAAATGAAAGGTGAAATGAAAACACATATTTGTTGTCCCTCATGAAATACAAGGTAACTGGGACATGTCCTGTCCTGAAAACCCAGTTATTGTGTAAATGAGGAAAGACAGAAAATGATCTTGGTAAGACCTATTTTTCATCTCACATGTTGCATTTCTGCTTTCTTCTCTGACAGTGAGTGGACACCAAATTTCATAATATGTGAAAAAGTTGCCTGAGTTTAACATAATTTATATTAGGATAACACTTTCTAAGTAAAGTACAGATTCTTGTACTTTTGGGGCTTGAGTCACATCCAGGAGTTGAACCCACACTCTCAGAGTCAAGCATCTAATCGCCATGACACAGGACTCAGCAAATGTAGACTACCAGTTCTTAGACTTCCATTTTTGGTGGAAGCCGCAGTGGCTATGCAGTAGATTAACCACGATTTTGGAAACAGGCACAAAGACACAACTGAAATCAAGTTCTTTTTCTTACTTGATATCGTTTCTTCCATAGCATCCATTCAACAGTTGGGATATAAGGTCACACATCAGCATACTTCCCTCAGGTGTTCCTGACGCCAGAAGGGCTTCCTCCAGTTCCTGCAACAGTCAGGGAAGTTTAACACCACGTGGCAGTATATCAGTGACATCAACTTCATGTCAACTTCACGAGGGAGGAGAGTATGAAGGGATGTCGATCATGGATAGTTTAACACCACTTGATGAAACAAATGGGGTGTGGTACAGTGCTTACAAACATAAACACATTAACTCTGTAATTTGAAACAAAGATCCTAGGTTTCTCGCTTGCATAAGGGACACAACTCTGCACAGCAGCATTGAAATCATGACAACTTTGTGAAAGAGATGTCTGTGTCCTAGCAACATGCAGTAAAGATTTTCTGTTAGTGTTACAAAAGGGAACCCAGAATGGTAGGGACAGTATGGAGCACTGGTACAGTAACATACCCTGTTCCATGGCTTGAGTATTGTTTTCTGAAGTTGGGATTCAATACAAAATGGTGCAAGCGTGCATGAAAGTTGCATTATGAAAATTATTTATGACAATGCTATTTTTGATAGTATTGAAGGAGGTCTAAAGACACTTTATTGATGAACTCAACCTTCTTAAACATACTTTGGTTTGGCTTCTGATCATTTTCGTTCAATCACACAAAGATTCAACAGAAAATTGGGAAAACTGTATATATAGACGTTTAATGATTGTTGAAATATTTTGTTCTTCAGTGCAACCAGTGTTCTGAAATGTGGACTGATGAAAAGAGAAAAAAGGACAGATTTAAATCAATAATCATAACATAATTAATGCATCACTGCAAATAATGTGTCACAATGATCAGTGCATCTCACTTTCTACATTCATGGGACAAGACTGGATTAAAGTTGCCAAATCTTTAATACATTGTGCAGTGTTCACAAATAGCATCTGACCCTCTGACAAATCTGGCAGATTCGCCAACGGTCCGATAGAAGTCTACCACCCGCCGGCCCCAGTGTCTGACTGTATATTTGACAATGACTCTGACTGAAGCTTTTATATGTGACATGTGACACTTGTTTGCTGTTTATAAATCTAATGTATGTTAATAATTTTGATGCTAATTATAAGAAATGTTTAATCTGAAATGTGTGTTTAATTGTATTCTATGGGTCCTGTGAATTTTCAATGGGTCAGACAGACATCTGAAACTTCCAGGACCCAATGTCCTGTTACTTTGAAACACCATACACTGTTGTGGTATTGACAAAAAGAAATTGTTAAAAATCATGAGCCTTTCAGAAGCACTATCAAGTTTACAATATCCGCAATACATCAGCTTGCTCAGTTCATGATAATTATGAATCGAAACCAACTTTGTAAACACCATTTGTCCTGATGATGTCTACTATTTTGCAACTTTCTATATTTCATAGTTTTGTTAACAATGTTGAAATTGGTTAATCACCTTTTCAAAATACCCAATGTGATCCCCAGTGTTCACGAATAGCATCTGACCCTCTCACAAATCTGGCAGATGCGAAAAAGGTCTGATAGAAGTCTACAACCCGCCGACCCCAGTGTCTGACTGTATATTTCATAACGACTTTGACAGAAGTTGTTATATGTGACATGTGACACTTGTTTGCTGTTTATAAATCTTATGTTTGTTAATAATTTAATGCCAATTATAACAAATGTTAAACCTGAAATGTGTGTTTAATTTTATTCTTTGGGTCCTATGAATTTTCAATGGTTCAGACAGAAACCTGAAACTTACAGGACCCAATGTCCTGTTACTTTGAAACACCATTCATGAACACTGGATCCCAACAATAACAGATGTCATCAACTTCATCATAAAGGTGCTCATTCCTAAATACTTAATATTTTATCAGATAACTGTAGACGACACTTGGGAACTGGCATAAGTATTGGATAAAATATTTTTTGCCTAAATTGACATTCATAAAATCCAGCCAAGGGGCACAACTCTGTTATCCAAGTTTCTATTATGTCTCATTTAGTGATTATATGAGTGTTTCATCACAGTGTCATTTTGGGATGTAAACAAAACCTGCCTTTTGTCAAATAAGTCATACAAAAATACATAATTTAAAAGGAGAAATGCCACTAATAAAAGGTATCTTTTAAAGGGAATCTGTAACAACACATCTTTGCGATACAAACAGAAAAACTGTGAAAACAATAATCTCTAAAGGTGAAAATGTTTTACAACAGATGGCATTCTTGTCAAAATTGTGATTAAAAACAAAATATAAATGGAAATTTCATGACAGCTCTTGCGTAAGTTACCATTCTATAAATAGATTGAAAAATAATTAATGCACCTCAATATGCATTTGCCACTTGTGACAGATTTGACAATTTCATCATTACACAAACTTTCTCCTCAATATATTACCTCAATATCAAAATCAGGGAGATCAAATGCAGCACGAAACAGGGAGCAAAAGTGGGCCACACACGGAATTTCCCACCATTTGCGAATTTCTGCAATCAAAAAGAAACAAGTCAATATTCCGTTTCAGGTCATACACAATAAACATTCAAATACGTCACGTATCAGCACTTCTTCCACCGAAGACATCAAAACTTACCATTCATGTCCTCTAAACTATAAGTTGGTCCTTCGTACGGTATTTCGGCGACTTCAGATGATACTTGTTCATCTGATACTTGTGTCTCTGTTGGCGATTCAACCTCGTCCGTGGCAGCTTCGGCTTCGTCGGAAATCAGTTCATTTTTCACCGCTGGGTCCGAGACGTCTGCCTCGGTCTCCATTTTCCCGGTGATTGGAGGCTTTGCAGAGTAGATATACAGGAATATTAATATCCTAGGGACTCAGAATGGTATGCATTCGTCGAATATACTGCTTCATTTGTTTCCTAGATCAGGAAACACTTTCAGCATTTTCCATCGGCGCATGTATGGTCGATCTCGTATCGCTTGACGAGACAGCATTGCATTCTGGGAGAAAGCAGTAAACGCTTTCCTTGATGACTACTGTTAGTTGTTAACGGCTTCTGACTGACGTACGAAACATACGGTTGTTTTAACTGTTATAGTTCAACAATCAAAGCCCTGAAGTGAGAATTCTGACTTACAGACAGGGTATCCGGTTGTTAAGATACTCCAAAATTTACTTTTATGAAGCAAACACTGCTTGATTGGGGGTTAAAGAGAAAACAGTTCCAGTCAATGTTGAGACAATTACCACAATTTATGGAGAAAATGGTCCGACGTTTTAAAGAAAACGGACCCAAATTGTAAGTAACACAAATCTGTAAAGACTTAGTATGGTATATTGCTTATTTTGCCCTAATAAGCTACTCTGGATTATAGATTATTAATTTTAGGTAATTGTCTCACGTGGTCTGTCACAGTATCACATGGTTTTCATCTCCAGTTCCAATTCTCCCTGATTCATCGGTCCATGGGTGACACTGCTCTCATTACTAGTCGCGAAACTCTTGTCTACCCATCCACAGACTGTACCCCTGAACAGCTGACCGTTTCTGGTATGATTGTGAATGTATTACCACAAATCACCATCTTGTACCACCATGTGTTGGAAGATACTTATCACACGCCTCTCTGGTGTTTAAATAACAATGGTTTCAACAGTGCACAAACACATCCATATTAGTCATGTCAAATAAGAGGACAAAATTTATTTTTTGAGGTCATGTAACTGTTTGTTGCCGTTTTCGTCTTCATTTTCTCCAAAACATGGGGTCATTTTAACAACAAAACTTGTCCTTCAGGGCAAAGTTTCAAGTAAATCACCCCTTCAAATCTGGTAAAACCGGATAACAAAAGACAGTTATCCAATGTCATGCATGGGATAAAATAAACAATGAGGGCGAAGATAATAGACCGTGAAGACAAGTTTATCCTCTCTATTAAAACTCACAAAAGAGAAATATTCAACAATTCAAGAATGATAATGAAAATATTAACAGATCCACTGTTTGTACTTTGTTTTTTTTAATATACTGATTCATATACAATACACGTAATACCCATCGCTGGTGATATGACAACTTATCAATTATTGCGACACATGGGAAGCTACTTTTTTAAAATATGCCACATTTCTTGAGTTACTGCATACAATAATGAACGTCTTCTGGTTTTTATTTTATATTAAGTATTTAAGTATCTATAAACTATGTTCATTGGATTATCTCGTCATATTCAGTTTTATCCAGAGTATATTTGATAACATACGGTAAAGATATCGAAAGGTTTTATGAACTGGGAGGGCCGTATAGCTTTAAATTTGCTCAAAGTATCTTACATGCGTATCAAACAATTAAACTATATGTAGAGATGAAAACTGCTGTCTTATTTTGAAATTATTTATTGTTAGTTTCCATTCTGTAGGTTTCAACTGATTCAAAGAGAATTATTGCAAATGAAAACTAGTGTCTTGTTAATTATTTCTTCCTTTTCTTTCCCATAAAAACAATCCGAACAACAGAGAAAACACTTGCTCATTCTGACTACTCAATACTTCAAATATTTGGAATGTTTCACATACATATACAGGTATACATTATTTATATGAATGTGAAATTTGACACTGACGTTTACTGTCTGTGACGGGCACCTGTTGTTACTTAGATAAACAGTCGTCATGTTGGTATCATCTTATCGCGAAAAATTTTACAAGATGGCGGTGAGTTGTTCAAGAACTTCTTAACTTGAGTTGGTTGTTAAATTATCAATGTGACACAAAGTTTGCATTATTTTTAGGGTGTAGTGTCCTTTGTTTGACTTCATTATTCCTCAAGGTTCTCGCAACAACCTATTGCAAAGTAGCTTCGAACGGGAGACAACCGATAGACTCGTAAACAAATTTGCTGATGACGAATTGTTTTGATAGTTGCATGAGGTTGGTGGAGCATTAATTTATCATGTATACAGTTGATACCGGCGAATTCTCAATTACGGTATGTGGTTGTTCTTGTGCACCTTTTACAACAATAACGAAACAAATTAGTCGTGAAAAAAGCCTTGATGCTTGTCTGAAATCCTGTGACAAAATGAAGGGAAACCAATCAGTGATAGCAATATGATCAGAACAGATTACCCTTGTCATGGCTCAGGGGTGATCAATTAATGAAAGTGAAAATAGTTTAGAAGTGATGTGTGACATATTAGGGGCCACCTGTTCTAATTCATGGCAAATTTTCTTCCATTTTGAGGTCATAATGACATCAATTGGTCAACATGTTTGGATCCTATTTTCCCAAAATTGTTTTGATATCCTGGACTGGAGATGCATGATGGGGAAAGTTACCAAACCAGAAAAATGAATCATGCATTGTATGCATCATGTTTTAAGAATTTTTGGTTGTGTAAGTGGTTCATATACATCTGAGTTCAAGAATTATATTTGTTTCATTATGAACAAACGTTGGTGTGTTGTTTCTTCAATGTGAAATTGGAGAAGGGTATTGTTTTAGGTGCCTTCTGCTCTGTAACCCAATTCCACAGAAGTGTAGTTAATGTTTTATTTTTTACCATATAAACATTGGAATAGAAAGAACATTAACATGAAGGAACAACCAATAGTACTATATTGTCGGAGTTAATCTAACACAAGGAAGCACATCTTCATGAATAGGTTTTCTTTGAATCATTAAATTTGACTGTTTGTGTAGATTGTTCCTTTTTAGAATTTACTTTCTGTAATTATACAGTCATCCCTCGCAATAACGCTCTTCGCGATACCGCAGATTCGGTTAAACCGCGGGGTAATCCGTGGCTCCCATAAAAAAAGTTGCCCAGCAATCACACATCTTCAGGTCATCGAAAATAGCACATCAACAAATCCGCTGTTGAGCTCTGGTTAATCACGTTGTAAACTAGTGAAAGTTAGTGCGGATTGCATTTAACAGTGTTTATTGTACATATCCATGGTTTTTCAGATGCTTAAAACATGCAGGGTTTATTTTCAATAATAATAGATGAACAGCGAAACATCGGAATAACTTTATCATAGAGACATGCCATCAGCCGAGTACTTACAACGTTTGCTGTGATGCAACACGCCGCGTAATTGCGCAGGTAAACACCGCCATCCGAGAATGTATGATGTCAGAAAACACATTTTATTTGATTAAACTCAATCCCATTTTCATTCATTAAAACAGAGAAACCATGAGTGAAATGGCATTACCTCATTTCATACAAAACGTCTGCTTACCACATTTGTGAGGGTCCGTTTTTCTCGCCTACCACGATAGCACCAATTTCACATTTTTCTCAGCAATCACGAACAGATTACAGCCTTGTCATCCATTGACCCCAAGACCCGCGTTATTGACTCATTGAAGTCATATTTGACAATTAATTGCCAACATTTTGTTTTTACAATCAATGTGGCACGTACCGCGGGAAGTCAGTGGTGACTTGTCAAACTGTCTCCTACGTAAAATGTATCCAGCCAGGTAACCCCAAGTGCTTAGTAATGCTCATTATTATGTTAAATATGTAGGTAGATAACATGCATTATACTTATACGATAGCAATATATAAGATCTCTGTTAGAATAACTGCTTGACATATAAATTAGTCTGATAATGGAACAGAAATTCTTTGGTGTTATTTTTTCGGATCGTTTTTAACTGAATCACCGGTACATTGGACCAAAACATCGGTCTGTGCACAGCTGATTGCTGTTTCCGGCTTAGTTGAATAACAGGTAGCATGACAGGAACAACAATTGAATTATCATGTCTTGTGATGTTTGATTGCAAGTTTCATGTACATACATCTATTTTCATTTACAAAATTGTTGTTTTTTTCACCTCCAACAATACGATATAGTTTTGACTGGGCACAATACACAAAATAGCAGTTTTGTTATGTCCATGGAAAATACGATTTTACTTGGCCCGTGTTCCACGTTATGTAATCGTTACTATAACGCGGGTGTCTAATAACGCGGGGGTCATCCATGGACCCCAAGACCCGCGTTATGGCGAGGGATGACTGTATAGCAAAGTTCAAACAGGAAAATGAAAAAGCCGGTGCCTTTCTGGTCTCCAGATAGTTTGGAACATTGAGTATGTACTCAGATGCTATCATTCACTTAGGGTATTGATGTTTTTCTTTGGGTATTTAGTATGGTCTTACTCCTCTGGTGTCAGTTTGCTGATAAGTTTAAGACCAATTTACAGACATTTAGTTTATACTTATCTTACATCTGTTCATGTGCTAACTGAAGTATGTCATGCCAAAGTGTGTTATACATGTTGAATACATAAGATTGAGCCTTCTTGTGCTCTATTGATTGCAGTTTGGGTGTGTAAAAGTAAATAAAAATCTGTAAGAATAATGAGTGAGTTTAGTTTTACGCCACACTCATCAATATTCCAGCTATATGGCAGCGATCTTTAAATAATCGAGTCTGGATCAGACAATCCAGTGATCAACAACATGAGCATCGATCTGCGTAATTGTAAACCGAGGACGTGTCAACCAAGCCAGCGAGCCTGACCACCCCATCTAATATTTTACCTAATGAATATATGAAAGGGTAACAATTGGTAATCACATTGTTGTTATGCTATTGGATTTGTGGATCTGTATTTTCATTTGTTTTGATATGCAATCAGCTCAAAAGTATTGATTAATGGTTATTTTGCACAAATATGTAGAGCATTCTTCTAGCTATCAGTCTTGTATCCTTGAACTTATCTTGTCATTTCACTCATGTACCAAAACCAGGGATTTACGGGACGCGAATGCCTAAAAATTGACAATGGACGCAACAAAACCTATTAGCGCGTCCACAGGGACGCAGAAAAAGTCCAAATACTTTTTGTAAAAAGTTCGATCAAGTAACAATAAGTTATCACTGAGTCTGTTACTAGCCGGGTTATGGTATTATTTGCAATTTAATCACTGTAACAATGTGATGATCATGACACACAATTCAATAACAGTAACTGAATTACAGCAATGTTACAACATAGTATTAATAATAATATTTAAGTGTCTGGGACCCCAATTTTGTAGTCCAGGACCCCTGAAAATGAAGCGTACGAGTCCCAGGGACCCTCAAATATAGGACTCACGGTAAAACAGTGCAAAACCATTACTTTTTACACAACATATTCTTTACTTGTACACTAAATAGTGACTGTGTCCTGATACACGTACAGTTACACTTCAGCATTACTGTAACAGATGGTGGTGTCTTCATCATGATTACCCTGAGTATATAAACACTTACTCTGTTATCAGTTAGCCATTCTCTCACTCCTCAGCTGAGAGGTACTGTACATCTAAACTTTTTTGTTTGTACGCTTACATCTTTTACAGTTAAACTTTCACTTACACAATTGCTTTTGGGGGTTGTATATTAGCTGCACGTCCTAATTGTTTGTTTGCCAGTGTATGCACTATGATCAGTTGATTGTGACATGTTCTGACTTGAAAAGCCATGGCCATAGTGTCCGATTGTACCTTTCTTTGAATGGAATAAAAGAAGACTTTTTAATGCTATAAAAGTGTGTATTATTAGTAATCTTTGGTCTACTGTCAGTATTTATGGTTAAATTTATCAAGAAATTGTCACAAAGACAGAAACTGCGATGAAATACAGAACACCATTTTGATCTGTACATGCTGTTAACCTTACCTTACTATATTAGACTTTCTTCTTTCTAGAATTGGGAGTAAACCAAGCAAACTGATTTGTTGTTACTTCCTGTTTTCTTAACGGTAATTCATATGTATCTAAGGGGTGGTGGGGTAGCCTAGTGGTTAAAGCGTTCGCTCGTCATGCTCAAGTCCCGGGTTCAATATTGCTGGAATATTGCTAAAAGCGGCGTAAAACTCAACTGACTCACTCATCCATGTGTATCTAATTTAGCATCTGTGACAGATTTGATTGTTTGTCCCGTATATGTACGGCGAAGATTAATAGTCAGTAGTGTGCGTTGCCAATCTTACCTGTAAACAGGGTAGCTGATAAAATATTTCATCATTTTTGACATAAATTTGGTAGAGTACATGAAAGTCGCTATATGACTGAAATAATGCTGTTTCAATGTAAATTTCGATTCACTCACTGTGTTGTACATAAACAGGAGGTAAACATGGACATTGTGCAAACTGACAGTGATTTGGTATCATATTTTTTTGTAACAGTACTCATTTTATTTTACACGAGATAATCTGTGTTTTAGGCATGTTTAAACTACGAAACATGTAGAAAATTTAAATATTTTTCCTTATCCTGACTCATACTTATTATGCTTATCTCCTCCTTCTATGCGAATGATAGTGGAACACGTGAATCCCTTGTAGTTCCCTCTGAAGAGGACGTAAAAGTACACTCACCCACGAGTTGCCTCCCTTGCATACTTTCCTGCCAATAACAGTCACATGACTAACCATGCTTGTCACTCTCTCCTTCGTCGCCCTTGTGGATGGTTGGGGGTGCATGGGAGTCCCTATACGGCACTATATCCTTTTTATTTTCGATCCTTTTACCCAAATTTGGCTGTGTACGGTTTTTGATTTGTAAATACATTGATTTTATATAGGAATTTTGTCAAAATATTTCGTATCTGTGATGTTTTTCATCTTTTGTACTTTGTTTGCATTTGATGAAATCTTGTTCTCTTTGTAGGTCCCGGTTATTTGCGGCTGATCCGCACC